TTCAGATGATTTCAGTTAACATTTAAGAAGTCTAAAAAAACATTAGATATAATATGTGAATAGATTTCAGTGGATTCCAGAGAGAATTAGGTAAGTTGATTTTTAGTGGTTTTGAGATAATTGACTTTAAAATTAACGCGTATATATAAGATTAGCAAATTATTTATCAAATTAAACGTAGAAAGGAAATTATTTGTCTTTATGACCCCTTGGAATGGTATATATATCCCAATATAATTTCATAATAACGCTGGTCAGGCAGTTATTTTCTATTTTAAAGTTGAGTTACCTATGGTTCTGTTGACTTAACCAATTAAGCTTTTTTTCATCTGACGCTTATAACAAAGTTGGCGTATTCAATTAAGATGTTTAGCAAGGACACGCAGTAAAACAAGACGTATTGTGTTTAATATTACTTATTCAAGTTATCTAATATTATTACACAGTACTACATTTTATCATCAGACATTGTGATTTTTACAGGCATCAGAGCAAAGTATGGTTTTTTTTTATCTCCATTCTTTGTAATATATTTCGTTAAAATCATTATCTAATTCATAAATTTAACGATGTTATTATTCATTTCTATGTCATATCTGTTCGTAAAATGAAGTTTGAATATACTTTCGTTAGTTTTTGCCTTATATAAAATTTATGATAAACTCAATTTCAAGCTTTAACTTAACCATGTATAAGCTCATGTATGAGCTTTTGTATGTATGACAGATACAAATCATAAATTAGTGTAAAATTAATCCTTTCTATGCTCAGTAAGCCAAACTTTTTTTCCATATTTCAATATAGAATAGTGTTATATAAGTTTCTATGTTTTAACTCTCACCAATAAACACTGCTTTATGGTCCTATACGTGGATTTATCTGGCATTCCTTATGTATAAAACTATTTGACAAGTTACCGAAAACAAAAATGTATAATTAATGTTTTATACAAACACACAATACACGCACACTCACATACTTGTATTTATATATATATATATATTTGATATGAACATTAAATTAAAATATTTAATCCAATACATTCTTCTGATCCTAGGATAAATTACAACATCAATGTCCAATAAATAGTCAATGTAATATTTTCATCCCCTTGTCTTACACTATCGTACATTGCGATAATGTGTGCTTCATTAACATACCATTGCAGACATAATGCGCATAACTTTCAACTAATATTCTGCTAAAATATTTTATACCTAAAACTATGGAGGGTTAAAATTTTCATTATATTAATATTTTGTTATCCTACTTCAATCACATATTAAATTCATGGATTATTACTAATGTGAATTTAGTACTTCAAGTCAATTTATGATATCTCGGCAATTATAAATTCAAAATGGAACTTAATTCATAATTGCGGAGCACACAAACAGTGAACGAATATTCAAAAATATTTTATTTAATCATTTATCTAAGACATGCGAAAATTAAATATAGAAAACATCTCCAATGTATTCATCGAAATATTTTGAATGTGAAACATTATAATGCAAAGATTGTTGTAAATTACTGGCAAACAATATTTGTTCCTCTTGATTTGAAACATTTTTACGTTATTAGCGTTCCAAGCCATGAAAATATACTCTAGACACAATTCTTAAACTTTGAGTGCCATTTTAGCACTACACATAATTGCAGGATCAATACAATACTGCATATTTGTAAAATCGATATCAAAGCCAGACTTGCTGAAGTTGGTAAAAGTTTGGTACCACTATATTATTCATCGTTGATTTTCAAGGGCGGGTCGAAAAGTACCGAATTCCTCATGAAATGTTACGTTCAATTCCGTCATCAGTAAGCATAAATTACTACAATTACCTTACTCGTGGTCATTTCATTTATCGGATCCTTAATAGTTATTAATTATAAAGAAACTCACGAAATTGTTAAATTTTTAATCAGATTTAAAGAAATTGCGTTCACAACCTCTACATGATTACATTTTTGAGTTATCTGTTCAACAGCAGTTTGTACCTTGTCTTACAATGCCACATACAGGTTAATTTTAACGATGGAGCTGAAATAAATCCATGCGTGCAATATGTTCGTAAGAGGCTGTGTATGATCGTTCAGTTTTTCACCCCTACCTTTCTAATCCTTGCTAAATATATATTAAACATCGATTTTTGCACGAACTCTTGATAAGATTTCCATTCAATATTTGAATAATCTCAAAGTATTTATAATATTCTCCATCAAGATTTATTTTTTTGAAATTAACTGTGTGTTATGAAGCGTGTCCCGAAATGGTAAAAAATATTAGTTCTATAAATGTAACGACTCGGCAGTTGTAATCACATAATTTTTAAAACAATAATAGTCATACCTGTCGTAAATTTGATTATTAATTGAAAATCATATCATTGTGTTGGATTATTACTTGTACAATACGCTCACTAAATCTGGTACTTAAACATTACATGAGACTAAGTAAGATTTTTCATTTACTTATATATTAGGTAAACATGTCTTTTAATATTCATAGTTTTTGCAGAAATGATGAACGGTATTAATCTAAATATGTTTGTATTTTACGCACGTACAAACAGTTAACTAATCGCTATATCGTTTGAATGAATTGCTAAAGTTTTACACCAAACTTTACTTCATTCCACAACTATGCATTCAGAAAACAAATCAAAATAGAAACATTCGCAATTGTAGTATAATGTAGTAGCATGCAATTTTCTGGACGAAAACTAGATTAAAAAACGTTATATGAACGTCACGAGCGAAGCACTGAGAAACGATGATTTCTGCAACTGCCGCAGGATTTCACGAGCGAGAATTATCAGATTAGGTTTTATCAAGTCTGATTTTGCCCAGAGAGAACATTCTGCGGCGTGTTCATTTTTCAGCAGCGCTTTGTCACATGTGCAGCATACAACTTTCATGTATTCATCAATCGTATTTATCGCGTTTTTGATGCTTACGAATGTACGCTCTCGCGCTGATAAATTGAAAATTGATTAGGATACTATTAACGTGAATTGTGTACGATACGAAATCGCAGTGTTCTTTCTTCGGTATCATATTTTCACATCCACGTTAAAAAATCTATTCGATGGTTGGCGTTCTTCTCGATTTCGAGAAAGAGGTTTTCTATCCGACCTGATTTGTAAGAAGTTTATAATACAATTTCTCGTTGGAAACATTCATTATGATTGTAGAAGTTAGATTACGCATATTGCTAAAGCAACCATTTACATGATCATAAATAAGAATGGCATTATCATCCGAGATCTAATGAACGCCATACGTATGATTAAATCATAATTGATGCAAGTGTTTCGACGAACATCGGTCCCAAATCAGATGTTCAAAGTTTTAAATGGTATTTAACAAAATCAATGCATGGATTACGCCTACGTAGGAGCACACTGTTATTAGATGCGACGCACTATGAATGTTTAATGAAAAATTCAAGTGATTATCAAGAGGCTATAGTTAGAATCGAACACGTAACCAAATCTACTACGTCCAGGCTTTCGGTAGTTCATCTAAAAGCTTCAAGCTCGCTGCAAATCTTCAAATCTATTATTCGAAAAGTGCAAGGCAAAACGTGCTCGCGCTTAGAAGATCAGGCGTGTAACTGCGCATTGGAAAAATGAATAATAAGCGCTCGTGACACATTCCGCGTCGCGTTGTTTCGAAGCTCACCAAGACTCAGACCGTGAGCATTGATTTTCTTTTCTTGCGCTACTATACGTCGAGTTATTTATTGATTGAGTCTATCGCTTATTTATGCGGCGGAATCCAAGGATATACGTAGCGGCCGTTACGGTGAAAAATGTCACCCTTCGATCTCTCCCGACAATCGTCGCGGTGGTGCGCTAGCGAAGATCACGCTACGAGGGTGGTGCGCGGTTCGGTCCCAGTCGCGCGCTCGCGAGAACAATCCCCGCGATCCCGCGATGCGTGCGCCGCTCGTTATGAAAACATCGGGCCTCGTTCTCTCATCGCGCTCTCGGAACTCCCGACTGCCGCGCGTAAAACCCGAACGACTCGCTCGCGGCGGTCGTCCCAAGCACGAAGTTGTGAGATTAAGTAGTAAAAGTCGTCGTTCGGTAGGCGCTTTCCCGCGGCCAAGGACGCGGCCGCGCGGCGGCAGCGCCAACGATCGCGAGCAGCTTTCCAACGGAATTCCACGTTGCACGCGCGAGCGTGCCCTCGCGAGGCGCGTCTAGCGGAGAAAACGCATCGCCTTTGGGCGTCTCGCCTGGCGATATCAGGCGTTTTGTGAAAGTCGCTGACGCGCGCTTCTCGTTAATCTTCGAGCGAATAGCCGCGGCGCGAATCATCGTCGGCCGACGCACAAAGGACCAACGTTCTTCCGGGGGGAACGGGAGGGAGGGGGGGGGGCAAACTCCCGATAGATAAGCCGAAGCGGATCGAAGCGAAGGAAAGCTCGCGACAAGAGCCGACGAGCGAGAAGCGTGGTGCGAGGTACGCGCAATCTGGCGAGGCGAGAGACGAAGAGAGAGCAAGCTCGGTCGTGGTAAGTTGGTCAAGCGGCGAGCGAGGTTCAGCCCCCATGTTGGTTAGCCACTTGTTGTTCGTCTGTTCGTTAGCGCGTCGGCCAGAGTGAGTACTCAGTTCTCTCTCTCTCTCTCTCTCTCTCGAGGAGGTGGAGGAGGAGGAGAAGGGAAAAAAAGGGGGAGGGAGAGCCGACGCGTCATTTCCGAAGAGCCCAAGTACGCAAATACCCACACGTAGTCGAGTCTCTCGCTGCCGCTGGCTCTGCACTCTCTCTCTCTCGCTTGGACTGGCGTGCTGTGTAGCGCGAAAGCTTCGGCGCGAAACCGAGCAGCGGGGAGAGGGCGACAGGGGGGGAAACAACTCGGTGTGGCGAGCGAGAGAGACAAAGAACGAGAGAGAGAGAGCCTCGGAAAATTATGTACATCGCGAACGGCGCAAAGGGAGCCATAGCGGCCGAGCCAACGCTAGCGAGAGAGAGAAAGAGACGGTCGCAGTTGTAGCGTCGGCCGACTGGCGTCGCTAGCTTCGTTGTTGCTGGCCGTTTGTTGGTGTGTCTGTAAATGTATGAGCGGCGGCTCGAGTCAGCCCAGCCATCGCTCGCTTTGCCCGTGTGACCGTGTGTGCCACGGACTGAGAGAACGGAGCTCGCTATTGCAAATCGGGACGCCTGCCTCAGTCAGCAGCGCAGTGTGTGCGCAAACCACCCTGTGCAAGAGCGAGCGAGGCAAAGAGGGACTACTGTGGCAGTGTGCCGCCGCCGCCAGTAGCAGCAGCCAAGGCTTTGCGAAGCTGAGTGCGCCCAGGAGCTGAGGCTGCACCACACGAGTTGTCTCTAGGCGAACCACGGATCTTCCCCTCGGTGAGTCTGTTGTTTATGTGAGCGATCAGTTTCGATGCTTGCGACGCTGCAACGCATAGGCGTAGCCGAGCTGCACCGCTGTAGGCATTCCCTTATTAATTCGCTTCGACGTCGTCGCCATCTCGAGCGCGCCGGAACTCTCGGAGAGCGAGCCGCGCGCGAGTGGGAGAGGGAGAGAGAGAGAGAGCGGCGCTACTGCCGAGCCAAGCGACTTACTGAGCTCTGCTCTATTCTGATTCGCCGTTCTACTGTGACTCGGCCGTCGTCGTCCTCGGCTTTTCTTCCTTTCCGCGCAAATTAGTCCTCAGGGAACGCGATTTTAACCTCGAGTACTTACACGACCACGAGACGCACGCGATCTCGCAAGAATCGTGACAATAGCTAGCAAGGAGACCGAGATATCGCTGAAAATACTTGGCTGCCGACGACGACGACAACGACGACGACGACGGGAGTGAGTGAGAGAGAGAGAGAGAAAGAGAGAGAGAGAGAGAGGGACGACGACAAAACAGCCGCAGAGCGAGAGAGAGAGAGAGAGAAACATACCGAGTGAGTAGAGTGTCTGACTGTGTGTTGGTGTGCACGTACGTACGTACGCTGCCAGTCACGTAATTGTCGGGGACGACGCCGTGAACGCATGTAGCCGCTCTGCTGCACTTACATACACAGCCACCACCACCCACCCCCTTCGCAGGCTCTCACACGGGGAGCAAGTGTAGTAAACACGCCGTGCTGCCGTGACGCTTCAAGGTATCAAGGAGTCTGGCTACGTTTTCTTTTTCATACTTCGTTTACTTTTTTCCGAGTCGCTTCGTTGATTCCCTTGAAACAGCTATAGGCGTATTCTTATCGCAATGGTTTACTTTGTTGCATTTGCCTCTGCTGCTCCTTATACAACGGAGATATATCACTTATTTTTCCTTTTCGTTCGACACGACACGGTTTTCTTCGTCTTGGATTTTTTCATTTTTTGCCGTTTCTTGTTTACCCGCGTACGTCGTGACGATTATTGAGAAGCAGGATAGAATCGCCAATGATTCAAAAACATTGTTTATAATAATATATGAGTGTGTGTTAGAATCATATTGACTTATGTAAAAAATTTTAGTGTAGTCCTCAATTTCTCATTACAACTTTTAACAGCCATTCTCTATCAGCTTCCAACTTCATCTGTATATGCTGGAACCAATCAAATTTTTGGTTTTAGTTGCTTATTTTTAGTATTTTTAATGAATTTTTTAATTTTTTTTATACCTGGTATACTTCAGAAAACAATATTCTTTTATTTTAGAAAACAATTTAAGCAATTTTAATTTTACATTGAAAAAATTGAGTACATAATTGTGACTTAGTATCTTTAGTGTTTCATTCGTATAGTAGTTAATTAAATAAACGTAGTTAATATTTAGTTTACATTATTTTTTCTATCTTGAGTATAATATTTATGAATCAACCAACATTTTTTTTTAAATTTGGTAAAGAAAGCTTGGTTCTGACTTTGAAAAACTACAAGTTAAAATTTGCATCCCTAATATATGAACATGAGGGTTGATAGCCTTCTTTCTATTTTCTGAGAATATAAACTAATAATTAGACTTTATAATTATATATTGTATTGCAACAAGCATAGCTAAATAATATCTATACATTTTTCCAAACTTTTGTATAACATTTTAATCAGGTCACCTTGGTGAGGTACAGACAACCTGTTGATTGCACTATGGGAGAAGCCAAGTGATAAACTTGATAATTCTAGTATACTTGAGTCTCCACTACAATTAATAAGCTGTTCTTTAATAATTAATAATTTATAATAAATTTAAAGCTTAAAAATATTTTATAATAATATTTATATACAAATTGAAACCAATCTGCAAAATATAGTAAATTTATTTATTATAAACAACTATAATTCATGTATAAACAGTTTAGATATTGAAAATAACTTTTGAACTTTTTTATGAATGTTCTTAAAATTCAAATTAATTGTAAACATTATTGAATATCAATAAAATAAATGTAAACAACTTCCAAATTGCTCATGTTGAAAAAATAGTAGAATGACTTGTAAGTTAGAGAACTCAAATAAATGGGGTTGTTTCTAGGTCAGATACTTTAATAAATATGGGACAGCGAAGGAATATATCCAGCCACTCAACAATGAATTACTTGCCTCGAGTTTTTGAGGAATGATGGAAAGGTGTCTTCTGTGCATTAAACGTTGTCAAGGCAATACACAAAATGGAGCATTTCATTCTCATTGACACAAAAAGTAATTGTATATGAATCATGTAATGTGCATGTAAATCACAGAAATTATTATTAATGAAATTTGTAACACATGATTATTTTGATTACCTTTCGATTGTAGAAATGAAACTTATCAAAAAAGTCATTCTTTGTCTGTGTGTGCTTTTTCAAATTTGTTTTTTGGTTTCATATTATTTTTGTAACAGTTTTATTCAACACAATTACACTATTTTTGCATGTTTTGGTTCTAATTAACTACTTTGCATTGTAATGACATAGATTATTATTGGTTTCTTGGAAAATATATTTTGTGGGAAAAAGAAAATCATTATACAATAACTCAAATGCTTAAACTGTTTACACAAACATTTAACATTTGATTTCTAGAAAGTCAGTTGTTGTTTTTTTAAATAACAATATAGAATAATATAAACTTGAAATAGTAATAATTAATGTATATTACAGAATGAAGTATAAGTGAACTTACATTATAAACATCTTATTACCACAATGATTACATTGTTGTAAAAAGATGTTAATCTTATTTGAAATGAAATACCTATATTATGCACATTAAACTTTGTAACCCTAGTTTCATTGATACAAATTTTTTCCAGAAAGTTCACTTTTAATTATACGTACTTTCCACCTTTTGTTGTATTTCATTATCCATGAGGGTTTAATTATTTTTTCGCGTACCGTTTACTAAGCAGTTTATTTGTTGTATGATTGCAGGAGCCCAATGTGGGTTGAAGTGAGATGGCATCCAGGGAGAAGAAAGCCCTAGCGCCTTCAAAGTCCAAGCAGAAGGCGAATAATAATAATAGTTCACAACTCGCTGATACCGCTGATAACGTGACTACACGTGTGGCAGGTGGCAAAAAGTCAAGGAATCTGGTGCCCAATCCCAGGAACAAGCAAGCTCGCGAGCTTTTGGAAGCGATCGCGACCAACAGTCAGCTGTCGATCAGAGACGAAGCTGCATTGCCGCGTAAACGCGCCCTACAAACGGCCCTCAAGCGCAAGAAGGTCAAGAAAACTCTGATTAAGGTCAAGCAAAAATTGCCCGATAAGACGCTCAAAAGGACCACCGATCCCAAGAAGCAGAAGAAGAACAAATCCAATAAGGCCGTCTCCGACAGCTCCCTCGACAGTGGCTTGGAGTCCGAGGACGCGAAAAACAGTAAGCGTACTTTTTCTATCCGTCGTCCTTTTCCTAAGCTTCATATGTTTAGTAAGCACACTGTCCCATTTCTTGATTTCTTTTTGGCGGTTTTTTTGCTTTTATAGTATGATTTTCTCATAGCTTCATTTTATTTTTCAATCGGGATTGTTTGCTAGAGCAATAATCAAGAATTAGGACTCTCGTAGGTTTTGCGCTATTTATATAAACTTCTTTCTCTCAATCATTGGGAAAGAGAGAATATTTGATACTTGACAAGTCTTAAAGTCTTAGATTTCAGTTTTTGTTCGGTGGATAGATTTTAAGCACTCGCAAAGTATCCAATATTGTTCTTAATTTCTTTAAATAACCAATTCGAAAGGGTGCGTTAAAGTTAAAATTGCATAAAAATTTTTAAAGAGAGCAAAACTGGCAAGAAGTTGAAAGCTTCCACAAAAACTTCCGGAGAGATAAAGGTCGAAGTTGAGGAGAAAAGCAGCCCCAAGTTAGTGGGCAAAAGATTTAAAGAATCTTCACCGAAGTCTGCGAAAAATAATAAACAATTAGCGGCGACAGCGGCGCAAAAGCGACAAGAGAGTAAGGAAAGGGAGATAAAGATTGAGCCGCTGGAGCTTAAACATATTAAGACAGAGCCGGTGAATGATTCTTACGAGCTCACTATTGAGGAAGTCATAGCGTCTTCGATGCTGGTTGAGCCTGGCATCAAAATTAAAAGCGAAGAGTCTGCCGGTGATTTGAAGGGCAAAAAGCACGCAAAAACTGCCAAAAGAAGCTTAAGAAACGGGAAACTTCGTCAATCTTTACAAAAGGGCGAGACAGGTATTTAGCAACCCCCCCCCCCCCCCCCCCCATAACTTTTCAATCTCCATTGTACACATTTGTTTATACCGATTGTCAGTAATCACGTGATAACAATCATGGAACTGCATGGTCCCCTTCCCCCATTGGAAACTGCCTTTTACTACTAGTTGACAGCGGTAATAGTCACTCGACACGATTCGATTTTGTACAAGGGCACTTGCATTACTAATATGTAATTGACCAAAAACACGAGGAAAAAAAATTACTGAATTCGGTTTCGGTTAATCCACTGACATTCGGTACCGTGGAGACTAACGAGCGTAGCCCTGCTCACCCTTCCCTTCTCTCTTCTCCCCTCTCTTTCACTCTCTCCCTCTCTTTTTCACTTGGCGCCCCTTTGCTAAGTATACACCTGGCATTTACAGAACCGAGGAGGTCGGTCAGTATGTCGGAGACAGGCGTGAACAGCGTAGAGTCTCTGAGTTTGCCCGACACCGTTGTCGATGTAAAGATCGAGAGGGAGGATCCAGAAGAGCAGCCTGATAAAGAGGAAGAGGAGGCAGAAGAAGAGCAAGAGGGTGGTGATAATAACGTTCATTCTGACGTCGAAACCAACAACAACGCTGAAGCCGGTGAAAACGGACCAACGCTTAGATCCAAAACGAAAGCGCGCAATTCCGATAGCAGCGACGAGATCAAAAGCGAGAACGGCGATCTGAAAAAAGACAAGATGCCCGCCAAAATTGCAGACGTCAAATCTGCAATGGGGGTTAGTAATAATAACACACCCAAGAGTCGTAGGAGTAGTCTCAATATCAACGTCGAACACTCACCGATGTTTACCGGGAGCATTGATAAGATGACGCCAGATGGCACCTCGTTGGTAATTGACGAAATGATCGATAAGATCAAATTGTCAATCGTTAAGTCCATTGAAAAATCCATCGAGAATACAATGATAATGAGCCAGGCTTTCGAACCCTTGAAGAGGGAAGAGATCACTGCGACAATACACAATGAGGTGATCGTTCCTAGTTCAGAGAAGGACGCCGATGACGACAAATCAAGCGTTTCGAAGAACAGAGGTGAGTTTACTTTCACTCTTTTACACTTCTGTAATTGTTGCTAGACAGAAAATATTAGGAACAATCTCATTCGATCTTTCTTCTTCCTTTCTATATTGATGATCTATATTGATGTAACATTTTTAGAAATAACTTATCACCTATAAATATAAATAATTACATTTCATGGTTGATGCTTGAAATATTGCACTTCAAATATTTCAAATTGTTGTCGCTAAAATTAATAGCAATTATGAAACTAACATTAGGTAAAAAAGATATTATATTTATCTGATAGTTAATAGACAAACCAAATTTTTAATCAAAACATCATCATAAAAGTTGCAATTATTTTTTAATATCTAGCCGTTTTCAAATAACTTTTGTCCCACATTAAAAGTTTGAGACAAAAATAATAAATTTTTCTTTATTTTCTTATGAAATCGATATAATGTAAATGCTATAGGATTTCTCAAAGATCTATGCTTTCAATTGAATTCGTTTATCAACATGGATATTTCATAATACTAGTTTAAAGTACATATTATTGCATAGTATTACACAACTTTAATTTTTATTGACAACGCTTATGTATTCATCTTATAAATGGTTCATTATTTGCTTGGTGTGCTAAAAAACTTGCAAATTATAACTGTTTTTCAAAAAATAACAAGAAACGTTTTACTTGCAAGCTGACCACATTGAAAGTCGCTCGATCGAATATCTTTCGTATTATTTATATAAAATGGGTTGCGCGTAACATTTCTTATATCTTATATTGAACCTCCAAACTTTTAAAATTTGTAAATAGCAAAGTTATTTAATGTCGAAAAAATAAATGTAAGGTTTGTTGATTGGATTGTAGGAAATATTGATTTATTATTTAATAAATAATTAAATTTTTTTTTCACACACAAGTTATTAGTGAAGTGTGATATACTTTTCTGATATAAAAAACTTTCAATACAGGGTTAGGACCAAGCATGGCAAAGAAGGATATAAAGAGCGAGGACACGGAAAATGCGGTGCCGAAAGTAGCTGATACTGCCAAAGAGATTGAGAAGCTAGTCATGGGCGAGAGCGAGCCAAACAACGAGAAGGAAACCGCCGAGGAACAGCCAGAGCCGCAAGCCGACGTGGCTAATATTGCGAGTGTAGTAAAAGTCGCTGACGCGGATCCCATGGCCAAGGAATCCAGCACCACCACTGAATATGGTAAGTTTTTTGACTTTTCATTTAATAAGTTTGTTGTAGTCTTGAATTTTTACGTTTCCATATGAGTACGTTGTTTTGAGCTTGCAGTATGTCTCAACAAAACTAAAAATTGTTACAATTACAAACGAACTCTTACAAACATTAAGTAGAGCAGAACAAGTGTGTAAATGTGTACTTGATATAATACTATTTTGTGAACTAACATAACGGAAGAATATTTTAATTTTGACTTACCGTAATGGTCAGAATATTCATAAAATAAAATACTTCATACGAATACTACTCTTGTTATATTACTTAATTTTATCATTGCAAAAAGATAACTCAAAGGGGTTTCTCGTTAAATGTCCTTTATTATTCGGAGAAACTTTCATTTTAATGTGCTCGTAAAATAATTTTATGACAGGTATCGTACGGCAATAAATGATGTCGTTCGAGACAAATACTACAACTAAAAGACTAGAAAGCAATATAAGTAACGTTACATAACCATCTTCATCTTTTTTCGTTTTCAATGACGGCTTAGTAAGAAGTAAGAAATTGAAAAAATAATTTGTAAACGAGAAATAATTAACTTTTCAGTAAAAGATTCTAAACAAAGCGAAGAAATGAAGAAATCTTCGCTACCGAACGCAACAAGGAAGTCAACAAGAGTAACGGCAGGCAGATCCTCAGCGGCGTCCGAACGACAGAGATCTTTATGCTCAACTGAAATTAATAACGAAATCGAGAAAACGAACTCAGAAGAGCAAAAGGCTGAACAAGATCAAAAGTCCAATGAAGTGGATGACGAGACGAAGACTAGCAGTAAAGTAAGTTTTTATCCATCACTTTAGTTTTCAAATTTTATCGATATAAAGTGAATAATTGAATAATTTTTCAATATATTTTTTATTATACTATAGGGTGATGAAAGTACTAATGCAAATAAGACTGACACTGCCTCGGAAGTCATAATAGCAGCTGCCGAAAAGACAGAGGAGGCGATGGATGTTAATAATTCCACTGAAGTCAATAAAGAATCCGAGAGCTTTGACGATTTAGCCAGTAGCTTGGATAAACTTGTAGAAGATGCTGGAAAAGAAACGTCGATGAAGGTTCCGGAAAATGATTCGTCATCTGACGTCGAAATGAATCTAGTAATCGACGAGGAGGAATCGTCATTGGCGGATAACTCTGAAATTAAAGATAATAAAAAAGAAGGCTGTGATCAAAAACCCGGAGAGGTATCCGCCCCCAATCCGGCGATCGTACCTGAACAGAGCAAACCATCAAAAGAAATCGTTGCCAAGGTAGCGAAGGAAAGTGAAACTGTTGTAGGGCCAAAAGAAACTCGACGAAGTTTGAGGACGAGAGCCAGCGATAAGCTGAGAAAAGCCGAGACTGCGAAACCCGTTCGTATTCCTACTCCTGTTGTTCAGGATAAGTCTGAGATGAAAGTTGTGAAGACCGAAAATGCTGCCACGTCCGAAGTGCCTTCAGCTATTAACACACAAAATGAGAAATCTATCGTCAACACTACTGGGTAAGCTTGTATTTTATTGGATGAACTTATCTGTCTATTATTAGTTTTGTAAATTAATTTTGATTAGCCTAATCACGAGCAACATGAAAACCCGTATATTTTACTTTAGATTAAAATTTTTACGTTAATTATACGAAGTTTATGGTTTTAAAATAGTAAAGAATGACTCGTAAATTAGACTTCATAATTTATCTTTATTTTCATAGTCTGTATACTAATTTGTAACAAAAGATGACAACAGTTTTAAACGCAAAGAACAAGGCAACGTCACAGCTTGCTAGAGCTATGGCAGCGATCGAAATATTGCTTATTCTCTTATTTACATTATTGATATATTTCTAGAGTTAACCGTTGCTTCGGCATGCAACAAATTATTCATGCGCTAGATAAAGTCGAAACGGAGTTTTACCAAAAAAGCGTCTTACAATTATTAAAGTAATATAACTACAACATTAACACTTATCAGTTACATACATTATAAACTATTTTTGGCATAAAATAACAACTTTCCATTCATATAGAAATTCCTTATTTTGTTCAAGCAGAAATGAACTTTCAACAAATCAAACATCAAATGTAGTCATAAAAACTGAACCAATAGAGCAACCAGAGCCCCAAATGCGTACGCGGCGAAGTCGAGAAGCAAAGAAACCAATTCAGACTCAAACTAAAGGCAGGCGTGGACCCAAAAAGCAAGATGCAAAGAAGGTCGAAGCTCAACAACAGACTAAGGAGGATTCATTGCTGGACAACGAAGTGGCTTCGATTAACGAATCGTCCTCTAGTTTTGTGGCTACTGAAGAAAGTGTGAGAGGAGTATCAGCTTCCGAGAGACGAAAATCAAGTGCGTCCGAATCAAAGAATCGGAGTAAATCTGAAAATGACGTTCGATCTACCAATATCTCGCGTGAAAGATCAACTTCGGAAGATACGAATCCACCAACTGAATCACAGTCAACTAAGGCAGGCTCCAACGGAATTTCCCAAAAAGATCTTGATGAAGCTTCGACTTCCGGCGAATCTTCTAGTAGTGTTGATAAGATTCATGAGACTCCTGAGGACCGAGCGAAAAAGGAGGCTATTTTGAGACATCTTGGATTGGAGTCATGGGAAAAGGTGCACGAGAGAAAGAAAAAAGAGGAAAGCGGCTATACTGGCACACTCAAGACGGTTATTAGGATACCAAAGGAAGGCAAGAATTACACAATTCAAAAGGAGGTAAAGAATCATTACTCTGACATTTGGTTTATGCGGTGCGTAAAATATTTTATAATTGAATTATCTTTGCAGGGTGGACCCAGTGCTACAGGCGACAGCACTTCTGGTGCGAATCGAAAGTTATCTACTAATCCGAGATATTTTTGTGGTAAAATTGGTTGCGGGAATAATTGCATCAATCTTAACTTCCCATTCTTACACGTTGTATAATATACTTATATACTTGTCTTTTTTTATGACATTTTATGTAACCGCTTTTTGAATTAATCTGAACTTAACAAAAGTATTCTTGATTTTCATCTCGTGAAAGCATTAAAAGTTAATAACTTAATTTACTGTCAAAAAAATCATCACATCTTCAACTTGATCATTCTAATTTTCTGCTTATTCTGAAACTCTTTCTGTCCAATCATTAACCGACTAACCTGTAGTTTTTAAGATCTTAATGACGTGGAATTTTTTCAGATGATGAAAATGAAGATTCAACTGTAAAGGATCGACAATCATTAGTTATTCCTGAAAAATCCTCATCATTTTCGATTCATCCAGGACGCTTATGTGCTGACAACTGTTGCTACTGTCACGGGAAATTCGGTTCACTTGACACGCCAATGCACTTGGCTCAAATGAAGTCTGACGAAAGAAGAAAGAAAATCTTAGAAAATGAGGTACACCTTACCAAGGACTCTTGTTTGTGCGATGCTTGTTACAGACATGTTGATAGAAAGGTAAATTTAGTATCTACTAATTGTTAAATTTTGTTTTGCATCAGGTTTTTAAATAATTATGTAATACATTGTCTAGGCCAACATGAGCCCTACGAATATGCAGTTAAAGCCACAACGAAGTCGACATTCCATCATGGAATGTATGGTCGTTAATTGTACGGAATCAGCCAGGCATCATGTTAAACGTCGTTGGCTTCTCAGAATAAAGTCAAGTCTCAAAGATCAGGTAAATTAATTAGAATTGAGGATTAAAATTTTTTTTTTTTTTTTTTCAATCAACAAAAAAAATGTATACTGATTAATTTTTCATATAGCTAATGATCAAATGGGATACGACACAACATAGCACACTTACAATGTTTTGCGGAGCTCACTATGCACAGATCGAAAAGTTCTTGATGTGCACACTTTGCAGACGTCGTCTCACGAGAAATTTTACGTATCCCGTTGGAATGAAAGCTGCCGATGTGGACGATCTGAATAAAACTCTACAAGATAAGGGGATGCCAGCCACAATGCAAGCGAATGCATTCTTCTGTAGACTTTGTAAATATTTCGTTGGATTATTTGTGAAACATTCAGACATTGAAAACATGAGTGCCAACAATAAGAACTTCTACAAAAATTACCGTAAAAAGTGAGCGTTATAATTAATACTTATAAATTTAAAAAAAATTCCTTTTTATTCAGATTTTTTCAATTTATTAAAATTGCAGGCTTCTATTTTTCTTTAACTGCCCTGAGGCGGAAAGTGACGAAGAAGCTGGTTCAGGTCAGTCCGGAAAGAACAAGTCAAAGAATAACGGCAATGGTACCAGCAAAAAGTCCAAAAAATCAAGTATGTCAGGTATCGATTTGCCCGGCTACAAATTAGATATCGCCCAGACAAGTTCCGCAACAGCTTCTGATAAATCAAGTCCTGAACCATGTAAAAGTGAACCAAGTACGAGTAGAACGAAGGAGCCAATACCATCGACCAGCCAGGATTCTCGTCCATCGGGCATTGAAACCGCCATTGAAAAGCTGAAAAAGCGTAAAGCTCTTAGCACATCCATAAGTTTATTACCCTCGGATGAATCGAACAAGAATGGAAGTACTAAGGGTGTTGCCGAACTTCTCTCAAGGGACAAGGAAATCACTCTCACAAGGCTACCTCCGAAACGACCGCGATTGGAGAACAATACTTCGAACAATGACATCACACCGGTTGTACAGCGACTTGGAGCGAATCCTTCGATTAGTGTTCGTACTTTGTTCCCTGGCGAAGAGGAGATGAACCTTCACGCGAACATAGAATTTAACAACGTCAGAGAAGTGACTCCTCAAGGTTGGGAGAAATGTGCGACGATGATTCAGTACGACAGAGATACCAAGATGCTGTGGCAGGAACTGCAAAGGCCTTATGGTAATCAGAGCAGTTTTCTCAGGCATCTTATTCTCTTGGAGAAGTACTATAGGTGAGTTGAATGGTTTCTCATTCAATTTGATTTTTAGTTGTGTTTAATTAGTACGTGACTTAACAGATTTCTTATGGCAATTTTTTCAGAGCTGGGGACTTGATTCTAGCACCAAACGCTTCAAGAAACGCTATAAATTACTCAACCTCAGTACAGAATCGTCTTATATCGTACGAAGGTCCCGAGAAGATGGAAGAAACTATGGAGTCACACAACACCATTGAACTGAACAATTCGCGTCGTTTGAGCGGTGGTTACGTGCTCGAGCAACGATCCTCCGCTCCTAGTACAAGTACAAGCTCTTCTCTGCTCAGCGTTACATCTCAACTTTCGAAAATGGAACCGTCGTCACGAGTGATGAAACTTACTCCTGGTGTGTCGATTATAAAAAAACCACCTCCAAGCTTGCAACGATTAAACGTCGGTGGCGGACAGAATGGTAGCACCAAAAGGAAAGACGCATTTCCTGTTCAGAAGGGTGCCAACGTTACGGGAGGAAAAGTGTTCCAACTGACCGAGCCTGATTTCAAGAAACTACAGAACCTCAAGAGGCAAAAGCAGATTATGAACGAGCGGAACAGCTCAAGCCCTAACAGTAGTTCAGGTATGTATTAACAATTGGAATAATTTACGTTGCTGGAGTACTTGATTGAGCATTCATTAATGGAATGTTTCAATTTATAGGTAGATCCAATTCTTCGCTAAACAACTACAGGGTATCTGTAGCTTATGATGCAGATATACACAAATCGCAGACGTTGTTTCGGAAGCACCTATTAATGCAGCAAGAGATGTTGAACCAGCGCAGCCGAGGTGACTTTGAGCCTCTGGTCTGTGAAATGCGTAGCCTATCGAATGAAAACTCACCAACGCAGAATCTCATAAACCATTTGAACCTGCCCAAGTCAATTCAAGTGACAACCAAGCCATCGACGGGAAGAACCTCACCCGTTCCTATTTTGCCTAAGATACCCAAGAGCCTGACGGTGATTCCGCAGACAGTCCCTAGGGCACAGGACAAGTGATACCCGAAGCGAAAGAGGCGCTCGATTATTGCCTCGAGTCGGGACTTTTATTTTTACGGCCGTCGCAAGTGACGCTTGTGTGTGCAACCAAAGCTCTACGTGTGTGTCTAAGTGTGATGATGAATTTACCAAGGAAGAAGGAAAGTGACACAAAGATTATATAACTGATAAAAGTGCCTAACAAAATAGTGACGCGTGACACTACCTTTTGTTTTTGAACTTCATTTACCTAGAAGAAAGCAGGCGCATCTCGTCGGTTGTTTTGGATTTCGTGATTATGCACATTACTCTTTTTTTGTATTATATGGACTATGAATAATTTGATTACCTCGGAAAAAATACTTCGAATTAATAGTTCATAGTTTGTGAACGAAGAATTTCAGAATGATTATATCTCGAAACATTAGGAAAGCACTAATGACAAACTAACGGTTTTTTGCCAAAAAAAAACTAAAGCTTTAATACTGCCTAAATTGAAATTTGTAAAATTTTTTATAAATTATTGCATTGTTGAGACACACTTACATGATCATTAACTTATTAATCAAAGTTGTTTTGATTGACAAATTTATGAATTCTTCGTTCATAATCATCATTGCATGTTTTTGCGTCAAAATGCGAAAACATTCATTTTTGATACAGTTAATAGTAGGACTTACGCAGATTTAGATTGCAATAATATAAATGTACATTGATTTCGTAACATTTGCAATTGAAGAGAGCAACATTGTTTTCGAAAAACTTTCAAGTTTCCTTTTGTCTTGAATGACTTTCGGTTGCAAAATTCAAACTCTTTAATTATTTTTAAGTAGTTTAATGAGTTAGGTAATATTAATTCACGTATAAACTATTTTCAAATGTTAAGGAATTGAATAATTTTATTATTGTAAACTGCTACCTACTATTTACCTGAAACAAAAGCAATGAGAGAACAAGTGTGAGAGAAAATAATTTCTTTCTGAATGTGATACGCGATTGAAAATAAATGCGAAGGTTATATACATTTTTTCCAGAGAGAGAAATAAGAAATACTTTCGGAATTAGATTTTTGTTCTCGTTACCCCCGATTTTCGCCATTACTTATGAGTGTTCTTCGGAGGCCAGAATTATTATTGAATTTTTTTCTTTTTCATGCGTAGAAGCATGTAATACTGTTATATATAATATGATATTTAAAAGTAAATATTGCACTGTTGCGGTCATTGCAACTACAACCTTAATATTTTTAATTAATTATCGATTAACTAAATGGATTCGATTTTTGCAGTAGAGACATGTAAAGTAAAAAGCTACTCATTATTACGATAGGCTACGCGTTGAGCTTATTTATTACGTTATATATATATATATATATACTATTGTATACTATTGTATACTATTGTATACAGTTGCATTGTACATAATTCAAGTCGATATAGATTTCAGTCTAACGTTCTTTTCATCAATTCACCTATTTTTTCCTATGAATTGTGAAAAAGGAACAAAAGCGCAATAAGTTTGATTATTCAAATGTCTATAATGAATTGTAGAAAACGAAGAAATGGAGAAAACAAAACATATCCTCAAACTATTGTATGTAATAGTAACGATGCTATATAATAATTTGAACAAATTAATATTATTATTAATTCAAACTCACATCACCTTAATGTTTTACTCCATTTCTTGTTTTCTTTAACTTGTACATATATATTATAATTTTATTCAAATTGCGGTCTTTGAATTATATGAAAGCCCTTTAATAAATTAGTTAAAGGCCGTGGAACGTGAGTAATTAAATGTAAATGAAACGATACGAGAAACAAAGAACAAAAGTTACGTTGTGACGATGGTAAAAATATAATCAATGAAGATACATTAAAAAGTACTTGCAGGTACTCTATCAACGTAAATGCTCTATTTTAATAAGGATATTTTTGATATGTCTATAAATGAATATATGTATATCGAATTAAAGAAAAATCTTATGAAGTTAGGTATTCAATTGCATGCGGCTATGTAAAATGAAGGATGTGAAATGCCAGTATATTTTGATGGAATGTGCAAAATTCAGACTGTCGGTATTTTGCTGAAATAAGAGACGCCAGGCGAGCATTGTATTTTTCTACAGTTTTAATAAATAACACGAAATTTATATTTTATACATAGAAGAGGTTTGTCCTCTTTTATTTTTATCGTAATGACACTTCTTCTGTGATGAAGAATATTAGATGCGCAATAAATTGTACTTTTGTATACTTCTTGTTTGTCAAAAAAATTAGTTTAAGTAATTTTTTATTCGCTTTCGTTAGTTTTTTGAATGAATTTTGTCGCTTGTTCATGATCAAACTGGTCTTATTTTATTTTTAAAATCACTGTGCACATTGCTTTAATAAAAAGTACTTAGTTTAAGACCTAAATATGAATTTTGTATGCATGATTTTTTCTATTTTAAAACTTCAATGTTGATTACAATAATAATACTAATTTATGATTAAATAAAATCTTAGGTAAAATTCTTATTAGACTTTTCATAGAGTTTATATTTATTGTTTCAATTTAAATTTTTATTAATATTTATGATAAAAACCGGTCATATAAAATTCTATAATGTATATGCTAAATCATTTTCAGTTGAAGATTTAACGTGGTTTTGGAATACATAACAATATGAGCTAATTTTATTCTGCTTTTCAAGATTCATTTAATCTGCATTTAATGATTAAAAATATTAACATGAAATAGTAAAATAAAATAAACATTATGAATATTTACTTTCAATAGTGAAACGTTTATACATTTGTAATCAACACATGTAAAATAAATCATGTTATAGATACTTTGAAAAAGTATGTATTTATTTTCAGTTGCTTGCCTGAGCGCCTCTTACACAGCAATCAAGATAAAGTAATGACAATAGAATAATTGTTGTTAAAAGCAAGTTTAATGAATTCGAATTAACGAGTTTTCGTACAGGATAAGGTTTTGTAACATTTCGTTTTTATGAAAGTCTAAGAATTACTTACTGAGAAAGAGATCCACGTGAATATTTCTTCTTAGATTGCAGGATGAATGGAAGAACGTAAATTTGAATTAAGAGTTTTGGTAAGAAAAAAAAAGTTGAATTATATAATCAAATAAAAATGTTTAAATATAAAAAAAATCAAATAAAAAAGTCAAAAATATTTCGTCAATTAAGTAATGTCGAGTACAATTTTAGTGATTTTGTTTTTTTCAAGTTTTATTTAAGAAAATCAAGCATTTCTATATGGCCAAATCTTTGTCGAAACTACAATTAGTTAACGTATTTTTCAATTAAAGTGTAACATTTCAATTAAGAGTAACATTTACTCTGGTTCGACACGTTTTTGTCAGTTTGAACTGTGTCAAATGAGCGACAAAGACTATGGAGTATTGATATTGGGATATGAATATATATTCTAGGAAACAATAAAAAACACATAAAATATGACCTATTTCAGGAGTTTTCACATAAATCGTCTGTTTTATTTTTACATAGTATATATTTCTCATTGAAAGTTATAAATTAATTGACTGTACTACGTATGATTCAGTTTACCCGGACAAGTCAGCGAAAAACACTTATTCAATCGTTATAAAATATTTAATAATTGCAGAAGCGATTGAATAGTAAATGTGACGTAATGTACTCAAATTGTTTCAAATAAATTAACTAAGATATATAAGATTGAACCATAATCTGAATTTTAGTTGATTTAATTGGTTAACTATCACTTATTATGCATAGTCGCACACTAGAATCGTGTCGAGGAAACCGTGAGATTAGTGCCTTTCAAGTACGGTAACGAATTTGCTCTCTAAATATGTAACATGGAAACTACTTATATAATAAACATTTTGAAGAGTTATTTAAAAAAAATTAACATAATGAAGGGAATGAAATTTACTGCATTTTCTTATTATTCTCTATATTAAATAATTTTCGTAAAAAAATTATAAAAGTTTCAAAATTTATTATAACTTTTAAGAATTCCTAAATGTACTTAAAGTACTAAATACTATAGTAGGTGAGAGATAAAGATATAAAAGAATATTTAGCAAAATAATATATTACAGCAAAAGTAACACAAAATAAGGTATTTCAAAAAGTGTCTTAAGAAATATTCTTCTGGGTAGTTTTTTCTCAAACATTGTTTATATAATAGGGTATGAAATCGTAAAAAGTGCTTTAAAAAAATCCTCGATGAAAAAATATATGAACTTGTCCACAGTATTATATGAATGGTTAAGAAAGTGCAAAAAAAGATTATTCGCTGACTTTTCCGACTTCTGGATAAATTATTTTGAACGACCAACTCGCAAGTGTTCATTTTCCGAGCACATTTTGTATAAATATACAAAATATTTTGCGAAAATTGCATCTTTCCACCAAATTCGGAATGAAGGTATATGCTTGAAAAAAAATCTATGATAAAAGGGAAAGAATTGTCTGCACAGCGGAAGGTGGAACGCGCTAACTCAACGACGATACGAAGAAAATGATTTTTGATCATCATTATTATAACTATTAAAATTATTATTATATGATTATTACTACGTTATTTTAATTAATGATTAACACGTTACTATCTTAATGTAACAGACTTTTGTTTATTTAGTTATTACAAAATGTGTATTAGTTAATTAGTTCTTCAATCCTTAATTTGTATATATTCGCAGATTTAAATAAAAGCGCAAAAAAACACTCAATGGTTTACGTATTTAACTTCTACCAATAGTTATCTCCTACCGAAAATCCTAATTTTAGTGAATTTGTTGACAATGTTCATATATTCAATATTTTGTTAAAATGTACAATATACCATTTCATTATTTAAAAAAATGTAAAGACAAACGTTGAAAAACATTCGTTTCGTCGCGATGTTTTTGACGATTTCAATAATAAAAACAAGAGCTCTCAAGGTATAGAATAAATATATTTTGTTTATTTCAACTTCATTTTAAAAACTCATACAAAAAGGTATACGGAAAAATCACAATAACATTGTTTGCATCCGTTCACTAATATATATATATATATATATATATATATATATATATATATATATATATATATATATATATATTCACACAAAGTTATCATCGAATAAATCAGATTTGTATATTAAAAGAATTAAAAACTAGAAGTTACACTTGATGAATAAAATACGAAAAATAAAGTTCTATTTGCAGTAAACGTAACTAGGAAGAGAAAAAAAGAAAATATACAAAATTTAATAGATTAATAAGAGAAATAGTTATTAAATAGAAAAAAGGGTAAAATTCGTAAATTGAAGAAACCTACTGCAAATTAAACACGTTCGATTAATTAAACCTACTAATCTCGTATTATTTAAAACAGTCATAAAAGAAACGGCATAATCTCGGGTAAGAAAGCCGAGTTTGGCAGCCACTTTCAACACACATGCCCGAGAGTTTCGCTAAGCGAAAGATTTCAGAGGCTCGTAAAAAAAAAAATCAGTTATCATAAATAGCCGTCCGACGAACGGGACTGCATCGCGCTCGTTGTTTTATTTCGTAACAACAGCTCATTTTCTCCTTCTAACGGAAAAGCCGTCACCGGTGGGATCCAGCAGCCATGGGTAGTTGTTGGGACACTCCATGCAGGTGAACAAACGAAGCGTCTCACCGGGCAGTTCGCGAGTGGTCAACGGGCAAGCGTTTGGCAATGAACAGTAAGGTTGTCCTTTCTCGTCACACTTCTCTTTCCAGGCATCAAAGTCACGCAGAGATGGGATCTCCGTTGGCTCTTGCATCCATTTCAGAACCTGTGCGATTCGCCAACATTTCATTTTCAAACTATTTTCTTTTTGCAATAATATAATTTAAAAAAATTAATAAAATACTGACCTGACTCATTGTGACGAAATAAGTGTCAGTGCGGCTAAGCACTTCCTCGATGAACTTGATAAGCTCCTCTTTGAATTCCTTCTTACTCTTGAGCCAAGAGGCATGGAAGTGAAGACCAAGTGGCGCACGGTTACTATTCAAGTGGCGATTGAAGTTGTGCCTGAGGAGTCTGCCGAATTGTTCGCCAGTCTGAATGTTCGAGCACGAGTCGACCATGTGGCAACCAGGCAGAGATTCGTCGAAAGTTGGATCGTCACGACGGTCCAACTCGTTCATTACCATCTCCCAAACTGGATGGGATCTCGATGGACAATTGCCAGCGTTACCGTTGCACTTGTGTGGCATGCGGAAGTAAAGTGTGTATGGCCAGATCGGTACGCGACCGAGGGACGCGGTGATGGAGGCGTCGTAGGTGAAGAACTGATCGGTCATCATTTCAAATTGCTTGTTACCGCCGACTCTCAGGTACGGAGCGCGAACGCCCACGATTGTACTGTCGGTAATGTTGGCGAAGCGTTCAATGATCAAACGAGCACCAGCCATCTCGGCCAACCAGTCGTCGTACGAACCTACGTTATCCCGAAGATTAAGGTTTGCCGATAAGGAAACTTTAACATTTGTCAATGCAAGATACCAACCTAGAGTCCAGTATTGTGGATCATCCTTGTGAGTAAGCGAGAACACAGATATTTCATGACCCTTCCTGTGCAGATCCTGTACAGCCGAGTAGTTGGTATACTTGTGCGAGACGAAGAAGGTTCCTTTGATCTGGCAGCCGTTGGGATTGAGACGATGCCCGTTGAAGATCTCTTCGTACAGATCGATATTGTCAACGTTGACGGCTCCATTGAAGGTGATGGTGATCATTTGGGGTACTTGTGCCGGCTCTAAACCGCCTGGGATACGGGTGCCATCGGCCGAGCAATGACAGTCGGGCAACACGCATTGCGTTGGGTCGCAGTCGGGTGCGCGGTTCGGGTCGGACTCCACAGCTGAAAAAAATTTTAGTTTTTAGCCTATATTACGCCGGAATTTTCCTCTGATGTAAACCGTTCGCCTAGCGATTCCAACAACAGCGGTTAGCAAAGAGAGCTTGATTGACGTTATAATTATATGTTACTCATTAAACTTTGATGTTAATTACAACACTCTTTGATGCTTCAGCTAAATTATCAGTCTCGTACATAGAATTCACGACTTGTCGAACTGATAAGTTAACACTCACTGCAGGCATTTTCATCGGACTCGTCCTTGCAGTCGGGCTTGCCGTTACAGAATAGTTCCTTGTCGACGCACTCGCCGTTACCACAAGAAAGTTTCCCTTCGGGGCAGACAGGCTCGTCGGTTTTTAGAATGGGCAGCACTTTGCGCGGCTCTGTAAAAATTCATTGTGACTCGACGGCTCGTTGTGGTGATATATTCCTGCCGGGGAGACACTTCCGTGGCAGAGCGAACCGATTTTTACATTTTCGCTTTGCTATTTTATAGAACGAACTTGATATCGAGCTTCTTCTTTGAACTTGCAGACTTCGCAAAGAATATTTGTTCAGTTATTAAATGATATTATTCTCGGTAATAAGTTCGCCCGTACTAATAAAATAATATATATTTACATTACGTTTTTACATAAAAAAAGATACTCCACAAAATAACTATAGCTCCTCCCCAGTGTGCACAACAATCGCATTACAAACATTTCGTAACCTCGATCGTCCAAATGTTATACAATTTTAAGGTCGAAAATATAATCAGTATTGTGCGGTGTCGTCAAAAAGTCTGAACGTTGATCATTCTGTCGTCGTCATTTTTTTCTCCTTTTTATCTTACGATATTATTGGAAGAAAAAAAACTTTGCTTTTTTTGGTGACGCTCACAGGAATTATCACTAAACTTGTATTGTACTTTCTCGCCGTCGATGCACGCGCGTATAATCTTGATAATAGACCAAAAATGCGTGGAATAGAGATTGTACAGTGTAAAGAGAATAGAGTATAGGCAGATTCGGGTGAGTAAATAGATAATAGATAATATGAGAAACAAACATTTAGTGATAAATAAGCCATTCGAAATAGAAATTTTAAATAAAGACACTAATATATCTGATAGGTGAGTGAATATTGTATGAATTTAAAAAAAGAATTTGAACAAAATCATACGCGCTACGAATATAATGGATATCGATTTATGTATATCCTTATAAGTGGTTTGATCGAAACCGCAAGGTTTTTAAGGGTGTGTGCGCGTATAGCACAGGGAAAGTTTTCCGTAACTGGCACACGGTCCATAAAAAGAAAACGCATACAGAGGTGGACCGGATGTAGCGAAGCACAAAAGAAAACGAAAACGATCGTAAATACTCTACGTTCCGTGTGGTGCCCTTTTCATTTTCAATTTTTACTTTTTTTTTTGTTTTTAATCCATTTTCGTTTTCGTGATAACGGATCGTAATTTTATTTATTTCCGATGCAAATTTCTCAAGATGAAAAACGTAAGAGCACGCGGTATTAAATATGGACGATTTACAGTTGTCAAAACGAAACGTTTTTATTATTATCTGAAATGAAATTTACCGGAATGTGAGGAGTAACGAGGTGCATGTAAGTGTATATAGCGACAGATCGAGAATCGAAAACTATTATGAACGAAAACTTTTCAACTACCAAATCAGAGCAAATTCTCGTTGTTAGTTCTACATGTTGTTTTAATCATATAAGAGGCAGTAAAGCAACAGTTTTTTTATTGTTTGTTTAGTTATATTTTGGTGCGATAATCGAAGCATGAAAGGTGTGGAAGCAAATTGTTGCTGTGACGTATTCAAAAGAAATTGTAGATAACTTAGAGAACGTATAGAAAAAAGACGAAATTATTAAGAAATTTGTAAAAGAAGGAAAAACAAAATGATTGCACAACTGAAAAGAGTAGTAATTTCATTGAGTAATAATTTCGTTTTTATCTCTTGAATAAGATTGCAAGGATGAACGGATGATGATGTGAATGAAGGTTAGTCGTTGAATTGCGTGCTACGGCGCGAGTCTACGTTCAAATCGGGTCTCTGTTCCCTTCACGATATCTCACCGCATACTTTTTCCTCGATATAATTCTCTCTGTTTCTTTTGTCTCTCAAAACGGTAGATCGCGGTCAGGTTTTTTTTCTCACTGAGTCGCCTCTTTAAAAAAATAAGCAGAGAAAATTCCGAGGAAGTATACGGTTGGATGTCGGTATTTGGAGAACGAGTCTCGGTTTTGAATTCAGTACAAAAATCTCAAGAAAATAAAAACAAGAATAATCAGCACCTGTTGAAGGCAAAAAATCCCGGAATGGAAAATCTTGCTCGAAACAGACGAAGAAAAAAAAAGTAGAGACATACGTGTCCCTTTATCGGACAATTCCCGTGCGTCACTTACTCTCGAGCTTGTCACAGTTATTGACCTTGCCCTTCCAGTCGCAGGTCTGTTTTTCCAAATCAAAGGCCAGTCCACTGGGGCACGTGATTTGCTTGAGTCCGGATCTTGTGCACCTGAGGGGCAAAACAGGCAACGCAATGCTAAAAATTCAACCTGGTTTTTATCTCAAAAAAAAACGACAACAAAAATAGCAAAATTAAGAAAAGAAAAATCGCCGCATCAGTGTCTCCCCAGTTATTGGAAAATCTCATTTTGCGCTGCTGCTTACTCTCCAGCTGCTCGCAATTTTTCACGTTGGTCTTCCAATCGCAAGTCTGACGCTCGATGTCAAAGGCCAATCCTGTGGGGCACTTGACCGTGGCAAGCCTCACGACTCCGATCTCACTTGCTTTGTCACACCTAAATGCACAGCACTCATCGTCAAATGATCTCACAGAACGTTCTTTCGCTCTCTTTCATTCTTTTCTTAGTCTTTTCTGCCAGCCAGGCTTGCACTATTTTCAATCAATATTTTTCCTACGAAATTTGTTTTTCGTCACTACTGTCAGTCATCCTTGCATTACTTTTATTACCGCAAACGTTTCGCGACAAATTTGTCTTTAAGTTCAGCGCAACAATGAAACATTTCATGTTTCCTGTCTCTTCATCACGTAAGATAATTAATAAAAAGATGCACAGCACATCCTTTCCGTTACTTCATTATCACGCGATTTCCGCTCCTGTACAATTTCTCTCTCTCTTTTCCTCCGCGCCGGTGAATGAACTTTCGACCAGCTATGAAATACTAATCCCTACACCAGAATAACAAAAAGCCAAAGATAAAGCTACCAGTTGATTGCGGTATCATGACAACAATAACAACAAATTGTCGCGCGATTCACGAATCACAATTAAGAAACGACACGACCGTTTTCCCTAATCTTCGAAATTTGAAAACAGCCTTTCTCGTGTAGTGCATGAGTCACTTTTATTGGCGCATCCACGTTCAGCTGTTATTTATTTTTCGGACTTTAGCTGTACCGTAGTCATCTGTATTTTCGTAACAAATCCCTGATCGAAATCGCTACTCTGGTATTCAGCCCGTCGGGTCACAGCTGATGCCAGCAGACGAGGCGCGAAAAGCGTCAATCAATGCTCGCGGCAACGTAACGAAGTCAAGTCAAATTCGAGATTGAATTTCCGAGTGAAACAATGGAACGGCGCGCGTAGACGGCGTAACTTCGTTAACTACGACTTTTACTCTATAGGCCGATTATATGGCAGTGTGGTGTGACGCCGTAATCCTTTCTCCATCACGCGCCTTTAAGACACGAAAACCCGTTCGCGGTTTCCAGCTGAGTGAGAGAGAGAGAGAGAGAGAGAGAAACGAAAGTTCGCGTTATTTTTCTTTGGGCTTTGGTTTCTTCCTTTACACCTTAATTTTTGGAAGTGTTATTACAATATTACTTTTTTCTAAAATATCTTCGAAGAAAGCTGAAAACTTTCATCTACAACGCTCATCGCGCCGCTTTAAACGGGTCGATTACGAGCCTTTATACGAATGCTTCACGGTTTCGAAGTGTAAATCGTAAGTGTAATCGATGCACGGAAAACTGGCTTTGCGCGCTTGCCCGCGTCGTTGTTTCTTCGCTGCTGTTCGTAAGCACTTTCTTTCGCAGCTGGCGCGGAATTGCAACTGCGAGGTGAAATTATCGCCGGTTAAAAAGTGAAATTCTCATCGCGTGCCTATAACGAGGTTGACTTTCCATCTTATCGACCCGCTGACTGACTTGTTACATTAAAAACGACCAAGATATCGTATACGACACCAATTGCGCGCCAGTCTAGACATCTGCGTTTTATTTATATCGATTCCTTGTCTCGAAACGAAACGTAATGGTCATTCGCACGCTTGCTGGCATCTAATTACCTGACGACATCTCGGCAGTCGCCGTCGGTGCTCAGGCGGAAATATTCATCTCCGGGCCTGTCTTGGCAGAGCTCCTCGGCATTGGCGTCGAGTCCCTCGCCACCTTCGTCGTCCTGTGCCCTCGCCGATGCTTAATAAAGAAGAAAGCGTCACATTATGACTCCCAATCTGACAGATCGCCTGACGTAAGACTCGAGTGCCATTGCGTTCGCGGTGTTCGCGGCTGGCGCAGCTGCATACCGGCAGCGTTGTAATGTCGCGCGAAAGCAAGCGAGAGATACAATAATTGGAGAACACGCGAGGAAAACGAGTCTGAAATGCGCGCGGGACGGTTGTTATTCAATTGCCGAGAAAGGTGGAGGCGACATGTATACGAGTCAAGGATCAGCGGCGACCAGCGAATAATCTCGTTGACCCTGCATTCTAACTGGTTTCGTGGATAAGTCCTTCCACGACGCAAAGGCGCGTGGGCGACGAGCTTTTCGATTCGATACAAAAGGAGCGTAGCTTCGAGATGTGGGCGGTGGGGGGGGGGGGGGGGGGGGGGAGGGGGGGGTCAGCGAACTCATGTCGATAGAAAGTCAGGGAAAGCGACTCGCTCGCCTTTCCACGGCATTGGTCTGCGTGGATATTCGGTCGATCTGTTGTTTTCATTCCAAAAAAGTCACAATTAAAACGTCGGCTTTCGTAACGACGCGTACACGCGCGAGTCCCCGCGTTGCTCAATAACGCGCGCGCGCACAGTGCCGTCCGATCGGTCGATCGCGGTGTATACCGGTTATCCTCTCGTTTCGGCTCTCCGGCACGATCTCCAATTAGCATACGATCGCGGATCACTTTATTTTTACCGCCAGACCGGCGCGTACCTTGGAGACGTTGGCCAAGCGTCGATCGTCGTTAAAAGGAGCAGACTAGGCGGTGAAAAGTAGGTGAACCGGTTGCGTATCTCGCGCGATCGCCGACCGATCGCGTGTAACCGCGGGTGTCAAGGGCAGTCGGCAATGTAGAAGCGATCGAGTACTCACCGGCAAGAAGCAGCAGGCAGATAGTCCCAACTCGGATGAACCTCGGCGACATGATCGTCGTCGTTGGCCGGACGGTTTGCGTCTGAAACAAGCCGCGCCCTCTCGACCCCTCTATATGCTCACCACCACTCCCATCCCGCTACCTGTCTCTGTCTCCTTCTTCTTCTTCGACTGTTATATTTACTTTCACCTGCACGCCGCGAGCTGCTGCCCTCTTCTATATGTTGGCTCGACGGCGATGCCGAGTCCGAACTCGTGCGCACGCTGAGTTTGTAACGTTCCTGCGAGATTCCGTCCAATTGTTGGTTTCACGTGTGCGCGTACTTGTGTCGTTAGTACGACAGTGCGTCGTAGTGCCTGCCGATTCGTACCACGAGACCTTCCAAAACTTTTCAAAGTCACAGGCATATTGTTTGTTCGCCGAGCTGTCGATGCGCGCGACGATTGTTGCATTTGACATGCCAGCCGTTGCTTCCAGTGCTCTCACCGAACGCGTTATACTCTCGACTGTTCAGAGATCATTGGCACGCTTTGAAATTAAATTACGTTCGTTTGAATCGCCATTTCAACGTTATGCTAATAAAATAAACAAGGCAAGTTGTATTGGACAACGTCAGCAACAACGTCAAAGGGAATAAGGCTATGTTTGTCAAGCGCATCTCTGTGCAAATGCACTAAATCTATCGTAAAACCCATCAGCTCAAAGTGGCGAAATAAACTGAACACAGCTCCAGGCGCTTCTCTCTGTATATATTTCCAGAATGCCGTAAGCTGAAGCGCACGCGCGTGAATTTCACGCGAATGCGTATAACTTTTTTTCGATTGATGACGCTGATGAAATATACGGAGAAAAAAAAGGAGAAGCGTTTCGGTAGTTATCCTTTTTTTTTATTTTTGGCGCCAAAGGCCAAAAACTTACGAGCGTCATTTATCGTAAAACGCGCAGGTAAAGCGATGAGTTTTCAAGCCTCCCCCTTCGCTAATAAATTGAACGTGCTACTTTAAGGTTGGCAATAAAGTGCCGTACAAAATGTGCGAAAATATATAAAGCTTATAAAAATGTCTTTGAGAATTGAGAATCTGAAAGATGTCGTTTCGTTTTTATTTTCTCCTCTGGTCGTCGTAAATCTTAATTCTTCGTGGGTCGAAGGTCAACGAATGTACGTGTGCATAGTTGCATTAACGAAGACCCGGATTCACGGATCGACGGGTATCGGTGTGAGGTGGGCGATGTACTTCGCTAAAGAGCGTAGGCGAAAAATCCTCGTGAAAAAGGAAGAAAACAAGAGGTGGCCTCGCGTCGCTAGGGCCGGGAGAAAGAGATGGAAAGGGTTGCGCAACGCAGAGTCAACTGTACGGCGCGTGCACGTAGAATGTGAGGCAGCGGTGCGCAAAACGTTCGATTGACGTGTTGTGCTGCTGCTGCCGCTGCGGCAAAGGTCAAAATAACATACGCGTCGTGACGGTTTCTCCCTCTGGTCATCGCTCGCCTCGCTTCGATTAGCTGCTGCATAACCGATTGCTGCACTTTGTGCGCGCGCGTGCACTGTTCGATCGCCGCCGTCTGATACAGCGGTCTCTCGTCTTGTAATCCTGTTTGCGTTACTTCATTTTATACCACGAGGCGCAGCTCACAGTTGGTTACTCCGAGTAATTGTTTATCGTCGTCTTTCCCTCGAAGATTGCTTGCATCTTGTCATGCGATTGTATTTTTAGTACTCGTTGCTCAACGTCTCGTTTGTCAATCCACCACCTTTCACATCACTTCATTGAAAACACTTTGTGTCGATTCCACCTGTTCTCTTTGGCGGAGATGCATTATATATGCGTGCCGATCAACGTCCAATTCGAAGAATGCCAAGTTTCGTAAAAGTTCCATCAAGCTGCACTCGTGTGCCTATACCCCGGCAGCTCGCGGCTTGTGTGCCTCGAAACCCAGGATCCTGAAGTTTCATCCGGATTTATCAACGGGTAACTCGACAGTTTTTTCTATTTGAAAGAGGGCACTAAACTTAAAGTTTGACTTATGTGCGCCAGTCCAAACGCGATTGGCAAAAGATTCTATCGATGGGTCTTTCATTCGCTAGAACAATGCCGGGGTGTTGCCCGTCCAAAGCGAACAGCTCGTGTGAAAATGAACGTAAATACGCGTGTACATATGCGCAGTTGCGCGCTTATATGTGTATTCTCAAAGGACGACGCACACGAAGTAGATTGTGAAAATCCATACCCATGGCTATGTAAATGCGTGGCTTTGCGTTGGGATTCTCGTCAAAATTAACGCCACAATTAATCACACACTAGGAATAAATCCATTTGTTTACTTCGCTTTTTTTGCTCATTGTTTCTCTTTTATTTTTCGCGAAACACGAATGTTTTGCTGTTTAACGAGTGAGGAACTTCCATTTTGCGAATATGCACCAAGTATATATTAAGAATAATACGGAAATTTTTGTCGAAAGTGTATGTAATTACTTCTGAAAAATTCATATTTTTCACGAATGAGGAAAGTCCTTGACGGACATTCAGCACCTGCGTGCAAATGATCAAAAAAAGGGGATAACATGGAAACCAGTTACTTCGTGCTGCATGAAGTTTTGTATACCGGGAAACGACACGAATTTTAACATGTTATTTACTCAAAGCATGCAAAAGAAAAAAAAAGTTTCGTCAAGTTAGGGCGTGGCACTTTTGTACGACACCGCATTTTATATATAAACGAGCTATACAAGTCCACTTTATTGTATGACGTTTCTTGTTTATCTTGTATGCCTGTTGATGATTCGCATATTTGCTTTTTTCATATTTCTACGTAGTCGTTATATATACTCGTTTGATTATTTCATCGACATAAAGGACATACAAGTACGTGACGTTAATTGCTCGGACGTTGTGAAAACGGTTGGCTTTTGTTTTATGTTTGATTTGATTCAAAAGCAAACTGATTTACTGGATAATGTATCGATGAAAGAAACGGACAGAGAAGTGTCGCGTACTTTTCCAAGAAAATGACATCAGATTTTTCGTGATTAAGGGATAATTAAAATTCACTCTTCGAAGAACTGCCAAACGGCTATCAGACTGATTGGCAATTATCAAGCCTCTACTTTAAAATAATTTAGTGAATAACTCTGAACATCATTCGCTCATTTTAAGTGCCGTCGTTTTCATTCAACGACCGCAAGCAAGGTGGGTATGTTAATTTAGAGAAGAAAAAACCGCAAGAAGAGGAATGACAATAGCGTTTTATTATTTTTGGCAAGAGAAAAGAGAGAAAATCAATTTTGTGGGCGGCGGAGGAAATGTAGAATAATAATTATGAAGCCGCCTGATTGCGAGGAAGGTGCTTCTTTTTCTTCCTTTCTTTTTTGAAATTAGCTACGAGCAATATACGGCAGGCTTGTGGCCAGCACACTGACCTACCTATACCGTCGCCTCCGCTCAATTATTCTTTCGAGTTTTCCATTTCTCGCGACTCGCTGCGAATACTCCACGAGTTGGACGCTCCTTCTTTTTCCTTTTTTGAGCCGAGCTTCTGTTCATATGAGAAATCCCATCATTCTTCTTGCGAGAGACGTACGATCGAAAGCAGTCGATAGAATTCGCTGTACTTTTTCCTGAGAGGAAACTTTATTCTGTGGAACAATTTTGAAGGATTGTGAGATAAATAATGTACTTTTAGCACCTTTCGAGAACACGTTTGAATAAAATTCACCTTGTGATAGCTCGAAAAAATTGTCATATGCATTAGTGTAATGAATTATTGAAGAATGAGACTTGCGACGACACTATAGATTTTTTCCAATTACAGAAAATATGTCCGTTAAAAAATTTTTTGATCAGAAAATGAAGAAAAATATGAGATGAGCGCAACAGAATAGTCTAACGAATACAAGGCTACGGCGCAGCTATGTTCTGCTTGGAAATTAACTTTAGAACATGTTTTATTCGATTAATGATGCAGAAAATGGTGTCAACCCCTCCCACCTCGTCGTGTACTATTTTCAAAGGCGTAGCAAAAATTTGCCATTGATATCTTCATAAACAGTAGAAGACTGAAATAAATCCTTACGTAAACTGTGTATATCCAGTCGACCGAAGCGTAATAAAATTTTGCAGACGCAATGAAATATACTAAATGCGTTTACAAAGCCAAGTTGTATTACCTGGAGAAACAACTAGAGTGGTGATGAACTAAATATGCACTTTTACCTTAAAAATGTTTTTAAAATTCTAGAATAAATGCCTCTTCGAGAAGCATTAATAAATGTATCATGTATAAAAAAATGAAAAGAGTTTGAAATTGAAGAAAAATTATTACTAGAAATAAAGAGTTTAGGTTGTCTTATTTTTCATGCCGCCCAAAGCAGATGTTATATAAAGGAGAAGTTAATTATCAAAATTTGTACGAAAATAAAATAAAGCAAAAATATAGAGCGCAAAAATTGTTTATTGATTATGGAAAATATAAATCAGCTATCCTGAAAAGAAACTCTTCGTATTTGCATCAGTCGAAGGGTCTATTACGTACAGTTACGTACTTGAGGAAAAAGTCTCTAAATAATGTCATCGATCAATAGGTATTACACGTACAAGTATGAAATAAGCGAGGAGAGCGCCACAGAAGTGGATCTCAGTATTTCCAAGCTTTTTGAAAGTCGTTAAAAGCCTAACTTTGAGCTTGTCCTCAAAACAACAGACACTTCGGCTATAGGTATCAGTAACAATCGTCGAGTCGATCATCAAACAAAGTGTTACTCTTTTCTCTTTCCACTGCACATATCCTGCCTAGTCAAAATTCCATGGTCGTCGATGGCCGATGTCGGCGGAAGCGCGCAGTGGCAAGCGTGCAGGTATACAGTATCGACGTGACATTCGTGCAACTTGCGTTCGCTTCTCCGAGCTCGACGCTCACCTTGACCGACGCCGCCTCGCCCGGGTCATTGTCCAGCCAAGCCGCGCTTCACTCCTTCTCTTCCTTTTTCTGTTCTTCTCTTTTTCTTTGCCGAAAACGAGATTGCCTTCGCCGACTTGGCATCTTATTCTGGTACACGAGGCAAGGGCAATTTTTTTTCAACTCTCCTCTTGGAGCTGCATTAATATCCGAC